ACTAAACTAAAGGGGTGTCGATATATGTGTTGTTGTTTTTGGTTTGAAATTGGGTGTTGTTTTACATCGGTTCTGTCAGGTGCATCGCCATGTTCATGAGTGTAGATCAAGCGCCAGGATTCATAGACTGGAAGCTATTTTTGTTTGGTTTTTGTCTATTGAATAAGAAGTGCTGCGAATAAATGTTGTTATATAGCATTTCAGTAGATATCATCAGGCTTAGTTCTTCCATCTAATATGGTTGTTAGTGCGTGTTCGCACTGTTGCACTGTATCATTGTAATGCAAGAAGCTCTGGCCATCTATTGACGTCGATGGTTGGCGGCATGACCCTGCCACCGGATACCGACTCCCAACGGACTACCTGACTACCTGACCTACCATTCCTGTCCATCAAATTACCTAAACACCAACACTGACTGTTTATCTTGCGACTTCATGCTTCATATTTGTCGATAGCGTCTTCTCCTGGCAAATCGTGCGCTTGGCTACCTCTGGGACCGACTGATGCGCCCCTTCTCCCAATAGCCTCTACAGCTTCGAGCTGGCCAGCGCCATGCTCTCCGCTTTCACAGCTCGTCCTATCATCGAGCTGCGACAAAAGGATAAGTCCAAGATTGAGACGATACTCGCTCAAGGTATGCGCATACCTCCGTGGTCTCGCTGCTCTTTCACCGCAGTTTCTACGACACCGACTAACTAACTCTCGGCTCTTAGGTGACCGCGTTCTCGTCGGCCTTAACAATGGCGCACTCCGAATCTACCGTCTAAACGAGCTTTCCGACCAACCTCAGAATGGTTCCGCTGACACAAATGCCAATGGTTCGTCGTCTGCGGCGGGCGAAAACCATAATACTACGCAAAGGTCGGAAAAGCCAACTGATTTGATGCGCGAGGTGGAACGCTTCTCGACGCGAGCAATCGAGCAGCTGGCTATTATAAAAGACGCAAACACGATTGTTTCCTTGTCGAATTATCACGTCTCCTTTCATGATCTCAAAACCTACGAACTTATTGAGACCCTAGGCCGGACCAAGAATGCATCATGCTTTGCGTCAACATCGAACATTGTCAAGGATCCGGACACGGGAATCCCCGAGATCGTGAGCCGGCTGGCTGTTGCGGTCAAGAGGAAATTGCTACTCTGGAGCTGGCTTGAGAGCGAACTTTCTGAAGATGTGGACGAGATCGTGCTGCCTGAGTCGATTCGATCAGTAACATGGGCAAATGCGACAAAATTGGTGTGTGGAATGAATGGCGGGTACGTTATGGTCGACGTCGTAACACGTGAGGTCGAAGATATCGTGAGTCCGGGCTCGGGACCAGCAGCTGGGCAGACTAGCCGATTTGGTGCAATGAGCAGTGCTGGTATGGGATATATGGGATTGGGAGGTTATATGCCCAAGCCTTTGGCGGCCAAATTGGCCGAGGGAGAAATGTTACTCGCAAAGGATATTAACACACTATTCATCGATGATGATGGAAAGCCCCTCGACAGACGGCAGATTCCCTGGAACCATGCCCCTGAGTCCATAGGGTACTCGTACCCATATATCCTTGCCTTGCAAGCGCCTTCAAAAGGCTCCCTGGAAGTTCGGAATCCTATAACATTATCATCACTTCAGAATCTATCACTACCGGGCGCATCTCAGCTTCACTTCCCGTCACCCACTTACAGCTTAGCACATGCCGGGAAAGGTTTTCACATCTCCAGTGAACGATGTGTCTGGAAGATGGACTCAACAGACTATGACTCCCAGGTTCAGGAACTAGTAGACGGTGGCCACTTCGATGAGGCTATTAGCATTCTCGAAATGCTTGAAGATGCACTGCTGAAGAACAAGGCGCAGACGCTTCGCGAGGTCAAGATGCTCAAAGCTGAAGGGCTATTCAAGAAAAAGAAATATCGCCAGGCAATGGATCTGTTCAATGAGGATACCGTACATGCACCTCCTGAACGAGTTCTGAGGATGTTTCCTCCATCCATTGCTGGAGAACTATCTGCCTGGGCAGGCCGCGAAGAGGAAGAGGAAGAGTCGGATGACACGCCCGGAACACCGAAGAAAACCAATGGCACGCGTCCCACCACCCCTGAACCCGTTGAACAGGCGCAGGAAACCCCGCAGTCAAGCAAAGGAGGCTTCGCCAGATATCTGACTGGAAGTTATAGGAGGCCCCAATCGGATACCGCATCCATCCTCTCAAAGAGGGATACAGCGGATGGCGATGATGCTGCTAGTGTAAAGGAGATTGAGTCAAACGATGATCTGCCTTTGAAAGACAAGGACTTGACGAACGCGGTTCTGGAGCTCAACAGTTACTTGGCTGGAACACGTGCTCGATTACAACGGGTGATTGATCCTGTTACTGGAAGCCTGAAACCTCAAAGTGATCGAAATGGTTCAACAGAAGAAATAGCAGAGAAGTTCCTGCGCATAGGGCTCGATGATTCTGAGAAGAAACTTGAGGAGGAGCTCCGAAACACCTTTCGTTTAGTCGACACAACTTTGTTTCGAGCATACATGTTTTCTCGACCAACTCTAGCAAGTTCTCTGTTTCGAATTCCTAACTTCTGCGACCCTAATGTGGTCAACGAAAAGCTTTTGGAACACAATCGCTATACTGAGCTGGTGGATTTCTTCTACGGTAAGAGGCTACATAAGGAGGCTTTAGAACTTCTACGACGATTTGGAGCCGCTCAAGAACCCGACGAGGCCGCACCAACACTTCACGGACCGCAGCGCACCATTCAATACCTCAAAAATCTGCCACAGTCAGAAATCGACCTCATCCTTGAGCATGCAGAATGGACCCTCAAAGCCAGTCCAGATGAGGCCTTGGAGATCTTCACAGGCGACACAGAGAATGCGGAGACCCTTCCACGAGAACGGGTTGTCTCCTTCCTACATGATGTTGATACACAGTTGGAAGGACGATATCTAGAGCACATCATCACCGAGCTTGAAGATATGACACCAGACCTTCACGACCGATTAGTTGAGCTCTATGTAGAAAACTTGAAGAAGATGGACAAGGGTGACAAGTGGGATGAAATGATGAATCACTTCATCGAGTTCTTGAGACAGCCGGGGCAGGTTTACAGTCTCAGCAGGGCGTTTAGATTGATTCCCAGAGATGGTATGATTCATATACAGTTACGTGGTGATCTATACTGACTTGTATCGACTTAGACCCAGTATTTTACGAAGCACAGGCTGTGGTATTGAGCAACATGAACCAACACAAACAAGCCCTTGAGATCTATGTATTCAAGATGAAGGACTACCAGAAAGCTGAACAGTATGTCGCTCACCTGTCGTTCCATCGGCTCAGAAGCTAACTTTGGTAGATACTGTAACCGAGTCAACTCGACTCAAGATACTGCTCCATCATCTCAGCCAAATGAGAAGAGTGAAAATGGAGAGGATCCTGAGACTTCTACACCATCTATTTATCACACCCTTCTATCGCTCTATCTTCAGCCGTCACCACCCAACCAGCCCAATCTAGAACCAGCACTAGACCTTCTTTCAAAGCATGGATCACGTCTCCCAGCAACATCGACTCTAGGACTCATTCCAGACGACCTTCCCGTTCGGTCACTTGAGTCTTACTTCCGAGGCCGCATTCGGTCGGCAAATAGTCTGGTCAACGAGGCAAGAATCGTCGCTGGCCTGCGACAGGCTGAAGGTATATCTATCGCGGCGAGGCTGCACCTTGGTGACGATGTACAGGGAGGGCAAGGCGGGCGTAACAGGCACGTTGCCATCACAGACGAGCGACACTGCGTCGTGTGCCACAAGAAACTTGGGGGAGGTATGCGTATTGGCGGGAGCGTTGTGGCTGTCCTGCCGGATAACACCGTGGTGCACTACGGCTGTTTGAACCGGGCAACAGGGAACAAAGTAGACGCATCCCAAGCGCCAAGTTGGGGTCGAGGATTTTAGACGATTCGTTTATGCTGGATGGGAGCATCGTTTCGGAGAGCATTTGCATGGATTTGGATCGGTGGTAGCCAGTATGATATTTCTCAAATACCCTTCATATTCAAACACATCTTGCCGCTGAAGGGTTTGCAGTCGTTCCCGAGAAATTGGTTCTCTCATTCCTCCCCTTCTTGCACCTCCTCGCCATAGTTCTCTTCCTCTTTGGCCTCGGCCGCGGCATCTCTCGCCTTGTCCTGCTCCATTCGCGCTGTGAGCTCTTTGTTGATAGTGTCTTGCGTGTCGGCGACAGAGGCGCGCAGAGCCTTTAGGTATGAAGACTTGTCGGCCGTGGAGGCGGGAGATGAGATAGCAGGAAGGGTGTGAGCAACCTTGAACGATTCACTCGCTGGGGAGGTGTAGTCTGCGGTGAGAGCTGGTTGCGACATTTTGGTTTTGGTTATTATGTTTGGCGTTGGAAGAAGATCGAAGTCTAGACTTGGATGTGGTGTTTTGACGACGTGGGGTTGTAGAATAAGAACCCCACCTCCGGTGTTCGTAGAGTAGAGATATAGGGTGAGCAATGACGGAACAATATATCATGAAACGAGTTCAATCACATACAAGATCCAATTCCACATCGAGCGACTGGAAGTTTGCAATCCCGTATTTTGGCCCAATATCCCTTCAGCCAGTATATCTATTGCAATAAATGTGCTTCAAAAGACGATCGCGTTCTAAAAGTCATGTTAGTCAGCGAAGTGGTTTGATGAAGGATATCTAAGTACTAAGGTAAGTAGGTAATCTGGTCAACTCCAGGTTAAGCCGATACCTAGTTCAAGAGCATCCAGTATCTCCGCATCCGCTCAGCATTGTTAAGAACTCTTGATAACTAACGTTAGCAGATCACACATTAGCCCGCCATTCCCATCGAGGGCAAAGCGACAACCGTGACTGAACTTCACCAACGCCGAAACAAACCCCAAACACCTTTTGTGCCTGGGGCCCTGTCGATCCGGGCTCGCATCTCTTTGGGTCTCAAGATGTAACAACGGCCCAGGAGCCGCATAAAACAATAATGCAACCCTCACGCTCTCAACCCCGCGGCCCCGGCAGCTTCGCTCCTCTATCGAGCTCATCCGCCCAACCCTCGCAGCTTTCGACATCATCGCGACCTGCTCTGCGCCGAGTAGAGACCTCGGACGATGAGGATGAGACACCTCGGCCGTCCATCACAATACCAAAGTCGCGACCGCCTCCTCAACCACAACCATCATCTCCTGCGACCCCGATATATGCCCAGTTCACGACCCATGGAAACTCTAGTACCGCGAGCTTAGGACATCACAACTTTTCAAGGCCGGCAAACGCACGATCTGTTACCCAGGGATCACCGGCCACGCTTGTCAAGGGCCATGCGCGCAAGCATTCGGCGACCCAGGGCTCATTCGAGCCTACGCTGCCATCTATGAGTACATCGAATATTTCATCACACCTCGGAATGTCACATCATAATATGTCGACCGCTTCTGCGACCGCGGCAGCGGCTGCCGCTGCCGCCGCCACAGCCTCCAATGTCAACTTGTCGGCAAGTCAGATTGCTGCGCAGGCTGCTGTCATGTCGCACCAGAATCATTCGCGCCAGAGATCGCAGACTGTGCCTTTCCCTGGCGATCAAAACGACGCAGTGCGTCGCGGAAGCGGAAGTAAGGGGCCTACGAGTCCCCCGATGTTGAGCTTGACGGAGGCGAGTGCGCCACGGGACAGTGGGTTTGGCAATCATGGAGGACATGGTGATCGACTGGGCGGGCCTCATTCTTCCGCTGCTACAGCTGCCGCCAATGTTGTATTTCCTCGATCTGGACACAATTCCCCGAGAGCGTCGCCTCAGCCATACTCGCAACCACCTCCTCCACCCCCTACGTCTGAGAAACCGTACAAGCCAGAGAAGCCAAAGGTCAAGCTATTCTCCCGCCCAGGCAAGATTAGCACAAAAGGTGATGCGAAGGAAAAGCCATTGCCAAGCCCAGGAAAGATTGGCTCGGCTCTGTCAGCACTTCAGCGTGGCAACTTCAGCACAAACAGTCTCGTTGAATCGAGCAATCAGTCCATATACAACCTTACCAACTCGTCTTCAGCCACGATCCGGCCTATCGAAACACCCACCGAGGATAGAGAAAGGGACAAGGAAAAGGGAAAAGAGAAGGAAAAGAAGCACCACTTTCTTTCACGGCAAAAACACAAGCTCAAGGATGAGTATCATCTCCCACTATCATCAGCTGCCAGCAATTCGTTACCAACAGATCCCAATGCGCCAAACCCTTTGTATAACTTCAACATTCCTCCGAGCCCTGGCCCCAACTCCTCTACCTTTGCCAAGGCCAAAAAGGATAAGAAACTCGGTGAGCGATCCGACAGTCGCCTGGAGAGCGAGTCAAGTTTCAATCTGCAGAGTGAATGGCCAGGACCAAGTAGTCTACCGTCTCTGTCTCAGCAGTCGACAATGTATGATCCTGTCGATCCCGGAAAGCTCGGTCTTCACAACCACATGTCGCTGGACGATGCGTGGCCTTACCTGAAGGCAAAGCTATTGGCCATATTTGAAGGGGAAGACCTGCGTCTCCCAGTTGAAGACTTCAACAGAGTCGTACAAATGCATATACAGTGGTGTATGCATAGACGCTCACCAAATACCATGTTGGAGGATCTTCGAGAGCTTTTACACACGGGGTTCTTGTCACTTGACCGGACATTACGTCAAACCCCAGAAGACCGATTTATACCAACGCTGGTTGAGCTCTGGATGTTTACCTTTACTTCCATACTGCCATATATGCAAGCCGTCTTCCTCCCACTCGATATGGAGGTGTCAGGGTGCGGTACACTTATGACCGGAGAGCAGGCACGGGACTTTTGGGGCGGAGCTATAGCATCTGCATCTACCTCAGAGAGACCAGCCCGTGTGGCACCGGCACCAGCAGTTCTCGATGTTAGGAGGCTCGTGCTCATCGCCTACAGGGATACTGTGATTCTACCGCGGTACGAGACACTCAAGACAATATTCTCCCGACTATCTCTTGAGTTCCTGCCTTCGTCGCTTGCAAGTATGGCCATGTCTTCTCCCCCGGAAGCATCACTGTCCACCTCCCCTTCTGAATCTTTCGGCCGACCCGGCACAGCTATGTCTCTCGACCCGTCTAATGCTTCGTACAATTCTACGAGTACAACTCTTCTTGGTGAAGGATCGGCAGGCGGCCGTAGCCGTGCGATCAGTAACGTCAGCTTCGGCAGCCACGGGAGTGATGGCGGTCTACGACCATTCACACCGTCTGGTGGCGGAATCCCACCACCGCCTTCTCTAGGCAGCCTACGGGAACGTGAGCAGAATGTCGAGGACTCCAAGCACATTACGGAGATGGTTGGCCGGATGCTGCAGTGTATGAGTGTTTTGTCGGGCGTGTCGGCGGGTGATGCAGGTGCAGAAGGCAATGAGAGGGTGGTAGAGCTGTGTAAGATGTTGAAGCTAAACTGGCTTGGAAGAGGAAGGACAGGAAGAAACAGGAGAGGCATGGTAGGCGGCAGGGTGAGAAGGGACGATATGAGAGATGAAGTTCGTGTCTAGCAGCTTACGCACGAGTTAACGCATGGCATGGTGATGAGCAATGTACTACAATCTATGAACCGGCATCCGAACTGCAACCTCATCCCTAAGAATATGAATTTCCAGATATGATGCCAAATGAGGCCCCCCGACCAGCTATCTAACTAAGTTAGTCCCTATCTATCACTGCAGAGCAGAAGGGGTTTGGTCTTGCCGATGTGGAATGTAGCTAGGCGAGCTTAGCACTTGGTCACGATCTGAGTTGTCATGATACATTACCATCATGACACTACAAGCAAATGTACAGCATCACTAGAAGAGCACAAGCAATATCACGGACTTGAAGGCGAGACACAAGAATCATGATCATCTGATTTAATTATGCTATCATACTTAGAGCGAGGAGTGGTCTCCATGGCAACATCTAAAAACTTTTTCACAGTTAGCTTCATGATCCATTAAAAGATGGTCGACAGCAAAGAGTGAAGATATGGTGTTTGATCAGACATCCAAGGAAGAATAAACCCTCATCTGTCCCAGAAAAGGCTCGATCGGGACTCGAGTGGAAACTGCGAATTAAGAGGAAATTTTCATCATGCAAAACGGAGTGGTTGGTGTGTGAAATAAAGATGACCAGAAACTTACGTTAGTTTTCAAAAAGCTTCGTGAAGCTGCTGGGTCAGTTGTATGGTAATAGCACGTTATTCAGATCTGGAACAGCGATGTTAGCAAGGCTGACAAAATATGCGTGTGCTAGAAAGGCTGAGTGTGGTTGTGTAGTCAGACGTTGATACTGGCAAGTAACAGGCCTAGGGCCCGAATACAGAACTTCTTCATGGTCGATTCAGTTGGGAAAAGAAGAATGTAACTAGTGTCATCATGCAGAGGGGAGGCAGTGCTGAGAGGCAGAAGGGAGGGAGTGGTGATGCTTACCATTCATATGCAGATTGTTTGCGAGGCTGCAATGAAAATTTTGCTAGCCAAACAAACCGCCAAAAGCAAACATCCATCACAACCAACACATCGGCAAGTCGCTCAAGCGAATCCGTTCAAAATCAAAACAGCTGCTCCAGAAAGACAGTCGTCGTGCGATCTCGCGTGTTGTGCTGGTGTGAGGAGGTAGGCAGAGGCTTTTTGTTGTTATTGGGAAGGGTTGAAGCTTGCAGGAAGAAAATTAAGAGCCGCATCGAGAGAAGATATTGGAAGACAGTGCAGGAAAATTTGTCTTTTGCGCGGCACTGTGCTGAGTTCACGTGACCGGCATCTTATCCTCTTTCGATACTAGCGGCGGAAGCCAGTTCAAGGCCCGCTTCAATATCGCGATAGATGCATGAGGCAATTTGTTTTGTCCTCCACCTGTGATGGATGGATGGATAATGGATTGTCTGTCTTAGAATAAATAGGCTAATCAGCTCGTTAGCGTTCTCACGTCATGATTCTGTGAGATTCTGTCAACTTTTCTTATTAAAAAATGTGCTACCTTAGTATTGCTTTTTTTGTGGAAGTCAAATTTTGATCACTCACTTTTGTGTGTGTGTGTGCGTGAGCCACAGCCAACACAACACAGTTGAAGATCAATGCCGGCACGTAGGCAGGCTGGCAGGTAAGGTGGGTTGAGATTTGGTACCTCCCGTTTCTAGGGACCTTCGCGTGTCGTCAGGGATCTAAGAGAAGATTCGCTATAAGGGGGGAGTGGCTTCAACTTTTACGTATAGTATTTTCCTATCGAGTAGCTCATTCGAAAGCTTATTGGAGACAAATTAAGGGGACCAGCAGCTGTCAAATTTGTGTCCTTTATTGGCTGCTTTGTTTCGTCAATGCCGGATCCGCACAAGTCTCATACTTCAATAAGTGCATAAACATCCACTCTTATCTCGGGGCCCTGGTCCGAATCCGCCGACAAGTTTATCCACTTCCTGTCCGTCAACGAATCAGAACCGTGTCTACAACTATGGAACCCCACCCGCCCAACTCTGCCAGATGCAAAGGTCAAATGGCTCCCCCAAAAGTCTACGACCCAGAGATTGTGACAGAGAACGAGCGAGTTGAGTGAGATCTCCCCTGGTCTGTAAGAGCAAGCCCGTCGATCATTATCGAATCTCTATCGGCATCGAATGTACCTCGACGCAGTCACTGCCACCCTGAGATCTCTTGTCTGAGAGGATAATCGCAGACAAGCCAGCGAGATCTGAGATCTACTTTTTCGAACTCTCACTCTCTTGGCCTTATACCGACGGTCCACGCCTGGGTCGACAATCCGCTTGCTTGCCTTGCTTCCATGGTTCCGTCTCGTCCACAGGCTCCCTCTTATTAGGTAGACTACAACTGGACAACCACCAGCAGCACCCTTCCTTTACTCGAGTGTCTGCCAACTTCTCCCACTTCTTTTCTCTTTCTTCTCTCCTTCTTATTTTCGACCAACTTTCAGCCTGGTTGAATCTCAAATTTACCAACCACCCCCGTCACGTCAGATTCCGACCCCGGTATCTTGCGTGCGCCCTCTACTTTTCCTGTCGGTCATCTCAACGTGCGTTCCTGAGTACCGGGTCTGCCGTCGCATTATCAAAGCCCAGCCCAGCCAGGCCCTTAGCAGAGATAGTCCTGGCAGAGCAGAACAGACTTCTAGGAACCCAGAAGCAGACGACAGTATCCGCTGTACAGTTTTGTACCGTACCGAACCGTACCTTACTGAACCTAATCGCATCCGCGGGAGACCCTCCAGCCCAGCCCAGCCCAGC